ACCGTTGTTATGTGTGCCAGCGATCTAAGGGAGTTCTCACCAATGCGGGATTGTACACTCCCTTACCTGTTCTGAAGCTCCTTGGTTCGATGTCAGCATGGATTTTGTACTAGGCTTACCCCGCACCCAAAGGGCCTCTGATTCTATCTTTGTTGTGGTTGACAGGTTTTCCAAGATGGCTCATTTTGTAGCTTGCAGAAAGACTATGGATGCTGACCGGATTGCCCATCTCTATTTCAAGGAGATTGTGCGTTTACATGGTGTTCCTCGATCCATCACTTCAGATCGTGATACTAAGTTCATCAGTCATTTCTGGAAGAGCCTGTGGGGGAAACTGGGAACGCAGTTGAATTTCAGTAGCGCCTACCACCCCCAGACGGATGGCCAGACTGAGGTGGTGAACCGAAGTTTGGGAAACCTTTTAAGGTGTTTGGCAGGAACGAAGCCGAAGCAGTGGGATTTGGCATTGCCTCAGGCAGAATTTGCCTACAACAGATCAAAAACAGAACCACAGGTTTAAGCCCATTTGAGATTGTCTATGGTCAGAACCCATCCGGGGTGTTGGACTTAGCCCCTATTCCACGTATAGGACGTTTCAGTCCTAAAGCAGATGAGATGGCAAAGTATCTTCGGGGTATCCATGAGCAGGTGAAACAGACCATTCATGAGAGCAATACCAAGTACAAGACTCGGGTCGACAATCATCGTCGTCAGGTACTTTTTGATGTTGGTGATTTTGTTTGGGCTGTATTAACTCGTGATCGTTTTCCTGTTGGTGAGTATAATAAGCTTAAGGATCGGAAGATTGGACCTTGTGAGGTCGTGCAGAAGATCAATGATAATGCTTACAGGTTGCGACTTCCCAGTCACTTGAAGACTTCTGATGTCTTTAATGTGAAGCACCTGAGTCATTGTTTTGTGGATCCTGATGACACTACTCTGAACTCGAGGACGAGTTCTTTCCAACCCGGGGCGACTGATGCAGGGGGATCTGAGACAGATGATGCTGAGCTGTCAGATTGCACGTTGATGGCGCTGAGATACCATGAGTTGGCAGATCAGCGCAAAGGCGGGAATTGATTGTGACATGTTCCTTATTGGGGTCGTTTTGAGTATGTTTCAGTCTTTTGGCCATAACTTTGGCTACAGGTGTCAGAATCGCGCATAAGACCCCAATCCGGAAAGCTCTTTTCGACGCGCACGCTCTCCACATTGAGCTACGCTCCATGTGGCCTTTTTTTCAACCTCAAATTCTGCCGTTTTCCCCTCCGAATCACTAGATTTAGTTATTTTTTACTATTTATGGTAATATTTCGATTGTTAATTAGGAAGTCAATTTAAATCCGATTTAGACCGGATTTTTGGGAGATTGCTTATTTTATTTCGAATTTCAATTTAGAGTGATTTTCGGGATTTTGCTATTTTTGGCAAAATTCGAATAAATACGATTTTTGCTATTTTTGGCAAAATTCGAATAAAGACGATTTTTTTAGCTATAACAGTCCGGCTTGTGGACTGCTTTTGACAATTATTGATTTTATAATATTTTATTAAACCCTAGAGACTTTTTTTCTCTGGTTTTTTGGGCGAATTTTCTCTTGTGAATCGTCTGTCGGAGCTAGCCTACAGGATAATCACTATTCTGTCTGGCGTCAAAATGTTATATTAAAAATTGTAGGGGATACGAAGTTATAAAATTTTACGGGGTATGAAATTAAATAATCAATAGAAAACGTAATGAAAAAGTATAAAATATAAGGGAATTTAAATTTCTAGGGATGCGACTGCACCCCACCACCCCTTCGATCCATCCTTGAGTGCAACCACTAATATAAATCGTTTTCTAAGGGATTTGATTGGGCTATGTTAGCTTTGTTAATTCCCATATAATATAAATCGTCCATACCCCTACTATCATCAATAGGCTCCATATCCTCCTCATGAACATCATTCCTGTCCCAACTGTTTACATCCTTCAATAAGCTCTCATGCCCCCTAAATCTGACCCACTTGCCATGACATAGACCCAAGAAGCTGGTCTTGACTTATCCGTTTGGCTTTCTTGGAAGTTGCTTTCTAACTGCTTATTTATTCGGTCCTAATATTATTGAAACTACCAGGTCCGGCCCTGAGGGTAGGCGAGGGGGGCGACCGCCTAGGGCCCAGGGTAGGAGGGGTCCATTCTTATGGTATAACATACATGTGTTTCACACACTTATGATTTATCATTTTAACGAGTTTATGATTTACCATGCTTGTTTCTGATATTTCAACGGGATTCAACGGAGGGGCCCAGGTTAGGAGGCCCAAGTTATTTTCCAATTTTCATTAATTTTCCAATCTGTTTTTGAATACGGTATGCTTCTGTCCGCTCCACTATACACTAGGGGGCCGTTATATTTTATACCATGCTTGCACCCATTTTTTTAGGACCCTTATATTTTATTTTATCTAGGGCCCTTAAAATGTTAGGACCGGCCACGTCCTAATAGTTTAGCCTCACCTACAATTCTTCCTTCATTATTGTCATTTAATGCAATGCCCTTTTTGAAGATATTCCCCATTAAACAATCATTAAACTCTTCATCTTCCACATAGCACGTGTTACCTTCCCTGATCACCGGAGAATTGCTCCTGGTAGACGCCCCCGATGAACTTTTCTCCGGCACTAGAGAATGTTTCCGACCTTAATTCTCTCTTACAACATTCGCCCCATTATCTTGGAAGCCCAGTTCCACATTTTTAACCAGGAAATTCTCACTCCCCAGCTCTGATTCAATAACATCGTCGATACTGTCCCTCCCTCTGCCTGGTGGAAACTGACATTGTGACCTTTGCTTTGAGACGCATTTTCTCCCATTGCTAATAGGGTTTCCCATGCCACAGTTAGCCTTTTCAAAGTTATATCATTTCAGCATTGAAGCGACAGACTTGAAACCTAGATCCAAGTGATCTTTTCTGGTAGATGGTAAGCTTCAGTCCACGGTTCTATCTCATCGAACACTTCCTATAGATAAGACCAGTTTTGTTCTTTCAAAAGTTTAAACAATTCCTGGTCCTTGATCTCAATTAAAAACCTACTATTGTCCATATAGAAAATTACTATTCTTGAATGTCGTGGAATTTACGCTCGGAAACAATTTCCTCACGACCTTCGACTTTGATATATGATTACTAGTGGTCTTTCTATATTTTGATTATTTATTGTGGTTTGTTTGTCGATGCAATCATAGATTTATATTTATCTTTTGTTCAATTATTTTCAATGAGTTTTTAATCTTTTCTTTGTATGATCCTTATATGATCTAAGTGATTAGTTTCTTGTGTTAATGATTATAAAGATATATCCTAATATGTTGATTATAATGTTAGATATTAATTATTTTTCAATAAAACAAGCGGTTTTATTTGCATAAAAAAACACGTGTTTAATATTTTCAGAATGCATCTTTTAGTTGGAGGTAGGGATGGGCATGGACCCGAAACCGACGGGTTCCTACCTGATCTAACTCGATCGGGTCAGTTTTTTTTTAAAAAATCGGGTTCCGATCAGGTCAGGTCGGGTTTTTTTAAAGGTGATGTTCGGGTCGGGTCGGATTCGAGTTTAGGTTGAAAAATACCCAACCTGGGGAAAAATATAATTTTACCTTGTATATTTAGGAATAATTATAATAATCCATCTCTCTATATTTTTTTCCAATTAAATCATTATTTTTATTATTTCGAGTCAGGTCAGATCGGGATCGAATTTTATCACAAAAAATCAGGTCGGGTTTAGGTCGGTGAAGGGTATATATTTTTCGGGTAAGGTCGGGTCGGTGAAGGATGTAGAATTTTCGGGTCGGGTCGGGTCGGGTTGGCCCAAACCCGACCCATGTCCATCCCTAATAGGAGGTTCCCTAAGATGAAAGTTAAGCCACGAAAGAGCGAGAGTTATGCTCAGGTCACGGTTTGTAAAGGTAGGAAAAATTGATGGCGAGAATAATCGAAAGAGATGGTTAAAAACATTGAAATAAAAAGAAAAAGAAAAATTCACACAATAAATCCATAAACTTCAACAATTTTGAAAATAGTCACTCATCCTCAAAAAGCATTAATAAATTAACCAGATATAGAATTATTAACTTTTTTCTTCAAATTATTATTAAATTATTAATGACATATTAAGTATTTATTGAACTATAACCAATTTGATATAATATACAAGTTTTGAGGATTAAAACTATTAGGGTAAATTACATATTTTGTAATTGAACTTTACTCTCTCTCCTATTTCACTCATTGTACTTTAATTTTTTTTAATTTCCTCATTGAACTAAATACATTGGGTATTTTTTGTCACTCAGCCGTTTCCTCACTTAAGACATTATGACTTGGCTTTTTTTGTTGTTAACGGATGAGTGACAAAAAAATCTAAAGTTTTGTGATTAAATTGAAAATAATTAAAAGTAAATCAAGTGAAATATGAGAGAGAGTAAAGTTTAATGAACAAATTTGTAATTTTCCCATTAAAAATCAAATAAAAAAAGCCACATCATAACGGGTATTAAGGTCAGTGAGAAAATTGAAAAGGTTTAAGTACAATGAGTGAAATAAGAGAGATAATAAAGTTCAGTTGGTAGAGCACAAGGCTCTTGACCTTGTGGTCGTGGGATCGAGTCCCATGGTGGGCAATTCATAATTCGGAGGTCTCTCACGGAAGCTGCTCTCAACCTAGTGTTTGGGGCAGCCTACTATCCTACCTCCCCCTTACCTCATTACATATGAGAATAAGAGTTTAATTTTATTTCATTTTTTTTCGTTAAGTCAACTATCAAATACAATTTAGAAAAAAAAATTAAATTCTTTATTTTGTATATTTTGTGGATGAAGCTATTAATTCTGGGAGTAGCCCATGTGTCAAAACATTGATCATAAACTAGGGTACATGATTTATTCATCTGTCTATATTTATCCATTATAAACCCAAAGCAAAATAAAACACAAATACAATTTGTAATCACAATAGTTATTATCACCATGAAGGCATTGAGCAGCGTCTCTTTCCTTCTCATCACTACCACCGTCTTCCTCCTCATCTCCTCCACCGCCATCGTCGAAGCCACCAGCAATAGTACTCAGACTTATAAAAAGAAGTTGTTTTGTGTGCCCGTCGATGATGCTTCCGATGCCGATTTACAACTAGCCTTGGATTGGGCATGTCACCAACCGATTGATTGCGGTCCGATTCAGCCGGGTGCCGTTTGCGGTGACCCGCCCACCGTCAGGTCTCGTGCAGCATTCGCCATGAATTCTTATTACCGGTCTCAAGGAGGCCTTCCTAGTAGTTGTGATTTTAGTGGCACGGCTACGGTCACCTGCAAGGATCCAAGTAAGCTGAAAACTATTTGGTCAAATTTTGCTTTTAGTCCCTCTACTGTGTTTAAATTTGATATCGAGTCTCTAAACTTTAATTTAGCATAACTTGTTCTCCAATTTTATAATATACAGCTCTGTTGGTAGAGCACAAGGTTCTTAACTTTGGGGTCGTGAGATCGAGTCCCACGGAGGGCATTTCATAATTTGGAGGTCTCCTACGGAAGTTGCTCTCAACCTGGCGTTGGGGGCAGCCTACTATCCTACCTCCCCTTATCTCATTATATATAAGAATAAGGGTCAGCTAATATTTTTTTAAGGGTTGCCCTCGCCTCTGCAGTACCCGATCTGAATTAATCGATCAATAGATCGGATACCAGTGATTAATTTTAAAAAAAAAATTAACAATATTAATAATTAGATTTAAAATTTTTAATTTAAAAAACAATTAGACTAAATTCCTAGAAATGAAATTTGGAATACTGAGTTCCAAATTAAAATAAAAGACATTCTTGTTTACTTTTGCTTTATTTAATTGCGTATTTATTTTTTTCACGCAGGCTATGGCAATTGCAAATATCTCTGAAGGATTGGTTGGGGAAACATCAGTTATGACAAAAAAACTTTATTTGCAAATATTAAATATTAATTTTACTTTTAGATTGTTTATTTAAATTATTGTTGGCGAAATCATTTCTTGGTGGTTCAAACGGGGAATGCTCGTCACATAGTTAAAGTCGTTATCGATCATTTTGGTTGAATATGACACGTCCAACTTCATTTACTGGGACTGCTGGGTCCTCCTTATCTAAGGCACTAGTCTCTTTGTAATGGCCTTTTGGTCTCTTACCATTCAAGGAAAAAAAAAGTCTAAACTCCAAAGTAATAATACACAAACATATAAACCATTTTATGGTAATTTAAAAAAATCTCGAGTTCTCGAAAACTCGTCAAAAGATGAAGTCTTCATTGGCTATTTTAAGCTATGTACGACTTAATATCTTTAACCAAACATCATAATCTTTTCTATTCAAAACTTTTCGAAACTGAAAAGTATTTGGCTTGTGTCAATTTCGGTTGCCCTTTGGAGTATTTGGTTGAGTAGAAACGATCGTATGTTTAATGAAAGAGCAATTCTCGTATGTTTAAAGTAGTTTAATTATGCCATCGCTGCCTTGTCTCGAGTCGGATGAGGGCAGTTGTCTTTTGAAAATTTAAAATCACCATATATTTTAGATTTTTTTTCTCTATGTATTTTATATTGAAAATCTATTTTTACTCCCTATAATTTTAAAAGTTCAAGTACCCCTTGAAATTTTAAAAGTTCAAGTTCGTACCTTAACATAAAATCATATGTCTATCCCTTATCACGAGAGAGTAATGTCATCATTATTCTATAATATCCTAAACCGAATCTAGATAAAAATTAAATCAAAATATTAAAAGGTCGATCAAAACTTAACTAGAGATTAATTATAATTAAAATTGTAACATTAGCAAATATATAACAACTAATAATGGAATGATCAAATGCTTAACGAAATGAGCATGTTAATATCGTTTGGACATGTTTAATATGGTTAATAATACATATCATCATGAAATGATCATCTATAGAAGATTCTTAGATGCACATATCATTCACTAAAACACAATTAGATTTATTCGTATATATTTTTCGTTCAAGTCTTTCGGTTGAGTTTTTTTTAACCTTTTTTATATATGGTTCTTGTCTGATCTAAAGTAGTCGGTTTCAATGTTATAAGAAAATGCTCAAATAACCCACGTCAGGTGAAGGCCAAATCAAACAACATGAAAATCAGAACATAAAAGGCCTTTATGAATCCAATAACTACCCAAAATTCATGATTCTCCACTGCAACAGGGTGATTTCGGACCCGAAGTCATTGAAACTAATTCAAAATCTCGATATCGTCAACTCCCATTGATTTATGAGAATACAAGCTTTCAATCAACATCCATAGACCTCCCAACTTAGTTATATAGACTCCCATTCGAAGAAAAGAACCCCACATAAGATGATTACAGTCGCAATGTTCCTGATATTTGCAACTGCCATTACCATATACCTTGCCTCCCAACATCTGCAATTCCTTGAAACCCCTTGATCCCTCCTACTCCTGAAGATTTATTCTTGAAACCCGCAACACCATGCACAGCGCTGGTCATAACATTTTAAGGGCCCTAGACAAAATAAAATATAAGGGCCCTAAAAAAATGGGTGCAAGCATGGTATAAAATATAACGGCCCCTAGTGTATAGTGGAGCGGACAGAAGCATGCCGTATTCAGAAACAGATTGGAAAATCAATGAAAATTGGAAAATAACTTGGGCCTCCTAACCTGGGCCCCCTCCGTTAAATCCCGTTGAAATGTCAGAAACAAGCATGGTAAATCATAAGCTTGTTAAAATGGTAAATCAGAAGTGTGTGAAACATATACCATAAGAATGGACCCCTCCAAACCTGGGCCCTAGGCGGTCGCCACCCTCGCCTACCCTCAGGGCCGGGTCTGACCATGCAGAACCATACCGTTTTTATTTACCCAGAACATGTCTAGATTGAAATTCAGGCAAGAATCCTATATTATCTTCTGCTAAGACCAGAGCCTTGCCTTCTCCCCTGCCCCCATCTAAATCTGATTTTGGATTATTATTAGTCATATCAACTCTTTCGGCCCAAGACATCTTGTTATTTGGACTTATATCAATCTGATCCCCTGAAAAGTCCATGAACGACTCAGTCTCTATAATGTTTATCTGCGCTAAATCAACTTTGTTATATACCACTGGCCCAGTATTGACATCGTTAGACCTTCCTTCACGTTGTTGCTTATCATTATGAGAATTAGCTGCCGCGACCTTACCCCTTCCATCCTCAAGCCCACTGTCACTGCCAACCACCTCCTTTCCCACATCATTGTCCCCAAGTCCTCATTCATGTAATCTCATCTCAGTACTGTTTATGCTATAAAACGTAGCCATGGTTCCAACCAAGCACCTCATCGACTTCCATACATCTTCATCTTCAACGTGTCCTAGTATTTCTTCTCTCTCTGACACCGGCTGGATTTTTGGCACCCCACAGCATTCTACAGGAGAAGACGACCCAGTTCTCTTCGGTCTCCATGCCACGGATGTTGCTTGAGTTTTCCCAACCCAAGGTTTGTTAATCGGTTTTGCAATCATCACTGAAATTTTGTTCCCATATATCTTTAGTCCATGTAGTCTCTCAATCATTCTCATCGTCTCATTTCTCCTAGTTGTTCTCACAAACGCAAATCTGGTTCCCCCTGCTCCGTCTGTTTGCAATGAACACGTTCAAGACTTCTCCACGTCATTCAAAAATTTTCCATAATCCCTTCCAATGTAATGCCGACGGTAGATTATCCACAGAGTCACCCCTTCCATCATGCCCCGTGAACTTGTAACATCAAAGACTAACCAGGAAGAGATTGCTAAGGCAACAATTGACACAATATGTCTTAAGGTATGCTTGTATACTAATTAATCATGCATCATACTAACATCACACACAAAAAAATCATCATGCATATGTTGAAAAAGCCAAGTTGGCCACATGGCCAAAACAACTTTCGGTGGCATAATTAATGCACCGAAATTTTTGGTTGAATTTGGACAATGGTTAAATCTCTTTTTTAATCATTATAATTTAGGGTATTTATAAATTAGTCCTTAAGCTTCAACTATAAATACCCTAGCTCATTTAGCTTCAAAACCATCCTAAAGCATTTTAGCTTTCATCCAATACTAGAGAGAATTTAGAGAGTTTCTTGAGAGTTGTTTCCTCCTTTTTATCAAGAGAGAATTATCATTGTTTTCTCTTTGGTAGATTGAGAGAGGTTGTAATTCCTATTTTCTCATAGTGAAATTCTTCTACCGTTACCAGTGGTTTTTACCCTATATTATTTAGGGATTTTTCACGTAAATTTTGTATCTCTTTTTCTCTATTTTTTATTTTATCAAATTATCAGTTGCGATTTTGCTCTATCCGATAGCCGTCTTCCGCAACAGCATAGGTATCAAAGTCTCAACAAAACAATGTTAAATAGTCCACAACAATTACTTGAATCGTAGTTTATATATATGATGTCATACAATAAATCAAAATTCATATATAATCGATTTTAACCAAAAATATTATATAACTTACATCACAGTCTATAATTATTATAAGAAATTACAAAAGTCCTTCTGACTCTTTCTATGGTCCGTGCATTGCATCCAATTAAATATGAGATTAGTCCACATGTAAAAACATTGACCATAAACTATAATCCACGAATTTTTTTCATCTCCATATATACCACTTATAAACTCAAAATAAAAATCAAACATCAAATACAATTTGCAATCGTAATAATTATTATCATGAAGTCATTGAGCAGCGTTTCTTTCCTTCTCCTCACCATCATCGTCTTCCACCTCATTATCTCCGCTACTGTCACCGAAGCCAATGGCAACGACCCTGACCCCAACGATACCAATGACAACGCGGACGAAGCCAATGTCAATGACCCTGACCCCAATAAAAAGATGTTTTGCGTGCCCACCAATCAAGCTTCCGATGCTGAGTTACTGAAAGCCTTGGATTGGGCATGCGGCCAAGGCATTGATTGTGGTCCGATTCAGCCAGGTGCCGTTTGCGGTAATCCACCCACCATCAGGTCCCGTGCAGCATTTGCCATGAATTCTTACTATAGGTCTAAAGGAGGCCTTCCAGGCACTTGTGATTTTAGTGGCACTGCTACTCTCGTCACCGAGGATCCAAGTAAGCCGAGTTTTGTTTTGGTCAAATTTTGCTCTTAGTCCCCATACTATGTTTAAATTTGATAGTTAATCTCTAAAATTTAATTTGTCATATTATGTTCTCCAAACAAAAATTATGTTTTTGACGCAGGCTACGGCGATTGCAAATATGTTTGAAGAATTGGATGAGAGGAAGACCAGTCATGATTTATAGCTAAAGATTTTGCTTTGCTATAAATAATTTCAAAAGTGGAGCAATTTAGTTCATATAAGTTATTTGCAACTATTAATTATTGAAAATTTTATTAAAATAATTGATGTTACAGTTAATACTCTAGTCTTGTTTATGATTATTATTCTATGAACAGATATTACCTTATACTCATTGTAAATTTAGTTCATATAAGTTATTTGCAACTATTAATTATTGAAAATTTTATTAAAATAATTGATGTTACAGTTAGTACTCTAGTCTTGTTTATGATTATTATTCTATGAACATATATTACCTTATACTCATTGTAAACTTCAAATTTCCAACCACGACATCCATAACTTCATCGATTCGAGAGATGTGGACACCAACATGGAAATTTTTTCATAGTATAATAGGTAATTTATATTCTCACCATATGCCTCGAATCTTCCCCCACAAACCAGCCAATCTCCTCGGAGTGATTTCATTCCAGCAATGCAATGATACACCAAAAAAATCTAACCACCCTACTCTTTCCTTCTGGCAAAATGTCTCTGTCCAGGGAGTTATATCCTCAAAAATATCCTTAAGGTACGACCATTGAAGGACTTCAAGCATGATCAATAAATTTCCATCCTCAATGGTAAGCAGAAAGGCTACCCCACATGATCTCTGAACTTTAATCTCTCTCAGGCCCCAGTTTTGTAATCTGTTAACAGTACTTCCAACACTGCAGATAGACGCCATGACACTCACCAAGCATTTCCTCATTTTTTTTCTCGAATCATCTTCATCAACATGACCCACAACTTCCTTTCTTATTACAACCACCCGACCATTAATCACACCTGGTGTCTTCTCCTCCAAAATTGGTTCCACCTGTTGGGAAATAA